GTCAGGAGAGATCTCCTCTCACAGGCGGAGGGTATGATCTTTCACCCCCGCCCAGAGTTGTGGAAGCTGTGGGTGTGGCCCCTGAGGGGGCACAACTAGTAGCTTCTGGTCTCTCAACTGAGGTTGTTGAGACCATTCTCCAATCCAGAGCTCCCTCCACGAGGAAACTGTACGCATTGGAGTGGAAACTTTTCCCTTCCTGATCTAGAGACCGCCAGCTCGACCCAGCTAACTGCCCAGTTGTTACAGTACTGGAGTTCCTGCAGGCCATTTCTCTACAGGGTTGACCCACTCCACCCTGAAGGTCTACGTGGCAGCCATTGAGGCCTTCCACGCCCCTCTCGGTTGATAGTCAGTAGGAAGACACCCCCTGGTTCCACGTTTCCTCTGCGGTGCGCTGAGGCTGAGGCCTCTCGTACAATCTCGGGTCCCCACATGGGACCTGGTCGTGGTGCTAGAAGCTCTCTGTAAGCCTCCATTCGAGCCAATTGAGGAGATCTCTGATCGCCACCTTACTATAAAGACTACCTTTCTTCTGACGATCTCTTCTCTAAAGAGAGTTGGGGATTTGCAGGCCCTGTCATTGGCCCCTATCTTGACTTTGCGCCCGGGCTGGCCAAAGTTTTTCTGTACCCTCGAGCGCGGTATGTCCCGAAAGTCCCCTCATCTGCACCACAGCCTATCATACTCCAAGCCTTCAGTCCTCCTCCCTTCAGGGAGCCAGACCAGCAGAAGCTTAATTGTATGTGTCCAGTGCGAGCACTGGACAAATACGTCCACAGAGCTGCCCTGTGGAGGAGGGCGGACCAGCTGCTTTTGTGCTATGGTCCCCCTAAGAGAGGTCTTCCAGCTACAAAACAGACCCTCAGTCGGTGGATAGTGGATGCCATCTCTATCTCTTATGAGTCCTCTGATCTCCCCTCGCCGCTAGAGGTCAAGGCTCACTTGACTCGAAGTGTGGCGGCCTCCAAGGCCTTTTTAGCAGGTGTGTCTATGCAGGACATCTGCAACGCTGCGGGTTGGTCCACGCCCATTCCCTTCGTCAGATTCTATGGTCTAGATATGCGAGCCACTCCTGGCTCTTCTGTTCTCTCGCCCTAGCTGTGCAGACTTCCACACTAGGCAGAGATTTGAAAGTCTGGTGGCGTGGGCATCCTTGTTCCCAAAGCGTTCCCCGACGCAGCTCGAGTTCCTGATGAGGAACATCCCAGGTTACGTATGTAACCGTGGTTCCTCGAGGGAGCGGGACGCTGTGTCTCGGTGCCATACTTCCGGCATCCCTGCCAGCACTTGCTTCATTCCTAGAAGCTGACGCCGGCTCTGCCGCACGTGCTTTTAAGCTTCCTGGTCGATGACGTCACCTGCCCGTGATGTCGCACCCTTCGCACACATGTGATTCAGAGTGTGGTCACAGAAGGCGTTCCCAAAGCGTTCTCCGACGCAACCTGAGACGTTTTTCAACTCCTTGTAGTAGCTCTCTTATTTCTTCCCCTTTCTGGTCTTTCAGGTGTTTGTAGAGTTTTTTCAAATAATTCCTGTTGTTCTTGACGTTCTTTAATCATCTCATTGAGCTCCTGAACATGCTTCAGTTTTCCCCCTACTAGTCAAGACAATACAGCATTAGATTAAACAATAATGACAAAACAAGGGCAATATGTAAAAATAATAAAAGGAATAATTAATATAAAATTAGAAAACAAATGCTCAGTTTTTCCTGTTGTAAAATGCCTTTGGCCAAAATTTCATTTTAGAAAAGAGATGAAATGCTACTCTATGCACAGGCTATTTAAGTGCATTGGCTATGACTAGATGGCAAATGCATCTCAAAGACATACAATATGAGCCTTTATAGACATAGTGTTTCTTGTGTAAAGAAAACGCTGTACATGTTCAAACAACAAGATCTTTATTTACCCTTGCAAGACTTAGTTCAGCTGCTGTGGAACTTCAGTTCATTCAGTAAAGATAAAGGGGGTGGAGTTATGAGATTTTACTGACAGTCGAAGCGGATCCAACAAGATTTAGGCACAAGCTCTTATTAATAACTCTAACTGGCTAAATATTTGTAAATCAGAAAGACAGATACAAAGGGTGACCAATAGCATTGATTTATTGAAGAAGAAGAAGAAGAAAAAAAAACACAGCCACCAAAAAAGGGGCACTTTGGAGTGTAAAGGGAAAAAGGGCATGTGCTCTGCACAGGTTGAGCCCTACCTGTGCACGTGCCTGCCTACATTTCAGGCGAGGCGAGGCGCATCTCAAACGATCACAGTAGAAGGAGCTCAAGTGCAACAGCAGATGCTAGTGTTGAAGTGGACCGGTATTTATCAGAAGTGAATCTCACAAGATCTGAGGAGCCACTAGTATATTGGGCTCAACAGAAGCATCAGTATCCTCACTTATACCAGCATTGGCATTTTTATGTTCCCCTGCATCCTCTGTTCCTTGTGAAATTACCTTTTCCAAGGCTGGATTTGTCCAAGAAGAGGAATCATTTAAACCCCAACACACTTCAAAAACGTATATTCCTCGATAAAAATCAATAATATTCACCCACCCCAAACTGCTGTGTTACTGTTGAAGAGTTCAGAATGCAGAAGTGCCATTTGAAATTTTCTTCTAAAATGAACATTTTTATCAGGCTCCTATGTAGGTTCA